AAAAAAAAAAAAAAAAAAAGATTTTATTTTTAATTATGTGTGCTTGTGTATGTCTGTGTGTAGGCTTATGCACATTGAATGCAGGAGCCCAAGGAGGCCAAAAGAGAGTGTCAATCTGAAATGGAGTTACAGGTGATGTGAGGAGTCCAATGTGGGCAGTGGGATTTAAACTCTGGTCCTCTTGCAAGGGCATTAAGTGCTCATCTACTTCTCTAGCCCGATATCAAAGTTTTAAGCAAAACCAGGAGACCTACATTTTCAAAGCCCTGGTCTGTTGTGGACTATTTAACTAGGCAAAGCTGTGTTACATTTGTTTATGCTGCATTCGTTCAGTGATGTAAGGATGTTGCTGTTGCGCCTTGCCTGCCTAAGGCACCTGATTGGTCTAATAAAAAGCTGCACGGCCAATAGCTAGGCAGGAGAGGGATGGGCGGGGCTGGCGGGCAGAGAGAATAAGGAGGAGGAGGAGAGAATGGGAGAGGACGAAACGAGGGAGAAAGAGGGAGACAGCCACCAGCCAGCCAGACATGGAGGAAGCAGGAAAGTAGGACATACAGAGTGAAGGAAAGATACAAAATCCCGAGGCAAAACGTAGATGAAGAGAAACTGGTTAAATTAAGTGATAAGAGCTGGCAAGAAGCGAAGCATTCATAACTGATATAATAAGTCTCCGTCCACGTCATGATTTGGGAGCTGGTTGGTGGCCCAAAAGAAAGCCTGCTGCACTGGTCCTTAACTCGTTCTCAGCTCACCTCCAATGCCTTCCAGAAGGCTCTCTGGGGGCTGTGGGAAGTTTAAGAGATTTGAACTTTTTCTAGAGAGTCAGCGGGCGGCAGCACCCAGTGCTGGGGAAGGCCGTATTGTCCTTCTCATTCCGAGAGGAGGGCCCCCAACTTCGTCCTGTGAAATGCAGTGACACAGACCATTTCTAGTCAAGGGGCCCCCGGATGAAGGGGCTCCCCTTTTTTGTGGGTTCCACTCAGGCAGCCAAAGCCCCGAGTTCATCCCTAGATGACACAGATATGGGCTGAATGCTTTTCTAGTGGCAGGGTTCAGCCTGCCACCCCACTGGGACAGCCTCGGGTGGCACCTTGCTCTCTCTCACAGGGCCGTGCATCCTGCTGTTCCCTCTACATCCTGCTGTTCCCTCTATCTGGATTTCTGTTCAAGTGCCACCTCCTCCGAGAGGCCCTCCCTGATTGACGGGCACAACCGCCTCTGATGATTCCCGCTGGTGGTACCTTTTTTTGAGCCCTGGCCCGTTTTGCCTGGTGAGCCTCCCTCTCCCACTGAGTAGTTCTGAGGGCAGGCCAGCCGGCTGCAACCTGAGTCCAGATCTAGGCACGGCTCCAGGCCGGAAGACTTGGTCAACAAAGGAGGACAAGCCTCCAGGAGCCACTATGAAGCTGGGGTCTCTCCCTCTGTCCAGCAGAGGTGAGGCAGATGGACTAATAGAGGTCACTTGTCCTCTGTGCCATCCTTGCCAAGTCATCCGCAGGTGTCTGGGATCCTGTGTCCAGATGCAAGGCTGGAGGCAGGCGGTGGCGGGGTGCCCTCCAGTCCCTGCCAGAACAGCAGGCAGAATGAAGGGGGACCGTGTGTCCAGCTCCTGTGGTAGATAACGTGGGACAGGGTGGGCAGAGCCCTGTCCCTGAATGAGACCGTCTAGAGCGGTGGTTCTCAACCTGTGGGTCGAGACCCCGGGAGGGGGAATGTCAAATGACCCGTTCACCTGGGGTCATCTTAGACCATCGGAAAACACAGATCCATTACAATTCCTAACAGTAGCAAAATTACAGTTATGAAGTAGCAACATAAATAACTTTATGGTGGTGGTGGTGGAGGGGAGTCACCACAGGAGGAACTATATCAAGGGATCACGGAAGGTTGAGAACCAGGTTTTAGAGAAACCCGACAACACCGGGTGTTGGGGGCTTCTGGAAGTGCGCGGGGCGGGGGGGGGAGGGCGGCCCCCCACCCCGGCAACTTCCTTAACTATCTCCGTGCCTCAACTTTCTCCAGAAAATGGAGATCAAAGGCAGGCAAGCAAGCAAGCATTCACAGGCAGAATGAATTAAACACGGTGGTGAGGAGAAGTGCCATCTACACCCCAGGTGTCCCTCATTGCCTGGGCCCAAGTGGTCGTGTGTGCATCCCTGTTCCGTCCCTCCGGTCCCCCCACCCCCTGCCCAGACACATCCGCAGAGGCAAAGGTGAGCACTCTGGTGGTCCCTGGGAGCTGATCTTGACCCTGGGTCCTTTGATCATTCGGTCCCCCACTGTTAGTGCCCCTCCCCGCCCCCCACAGGTTGCTGAAGGTGCTTTTCTTGGAAACTCAGGTCAGGTGAGGGTCCCCGCAATAGCCCCGCTGGGGGGCTCAGAGTTCTTGCTGAGGTGGCTGTGGACCCCAGCCAGCCCTCGACACCACCGGGGTGGGATGGGGGTGACTTTTTGCAGGCTGGGGACCTTGCAGTCCTCACCCTGCCCTGGCCGGGTGGGTGGCCCGGGGCGGGAGCGAGAGGCTCTGGCGGAGGAGGGCGGGGAGGGGGCGGCGCCTGGGAAAGGAGGCTCAGCTGGCGGCTGGAGGCGTTTGCATCTGGAGCGGGTCTCAGTTGGAGCCGCAGGCCGCCGGAGCCTCCTCGTCTCCCCTCCGGCCCAGCGGTGGCGGGGACCCGAGCTGTTGGGGCCCGCGCCCCGCGCCCGCCAGTCATGGTGGGTCACCTGCATCTGCAGGCCATGGGGGACACGCGGGAGCAGAGCCGCGACGGCTTGCTGGACAGTCCCGACTCGGGACTGCCCCCTAGTCCCAGTCCTAGCCCGCCCTTCTATGCCCTGTCGCCGGGCACCCTGGACGCCCGTGCCGCCCCCGAGCCCCCAGGACCCAATGAGGCACCAGCGGTAAGACTTGGGGACCGGGCAGCGGGAGGGCCATGCCGAAGCCAGCATGGTCTCCTCCCTCCTGAAGCGGACGTGGGGTGGCACCGGACTCACCAGGACCTACAGGCTGGGAGTTTCAGGGTGGGTGCTGGTGGACTAGAGTACAGAGTAATGTCCTGGTGCCCCCAAAGTCTACCACCTGCCAAGGGTCCTGTTGTGGCCGTCTGTCCGTGGGTCCTGATCCTGCTCCGGCGGCTGCTGCCTCCTGCCCTGTTGACCCATGCCAGGGCTGCTGAATTTTTGAAAATGCAGCTCGGCCTGAAAGCCCCCACGGGCTTTGTCTTGTGGGTGTAGAAGTGGAACTGCCCTCGGAGTTGTGACTCTAGGGGCTGCTGGACCCGCTTTGCCTGGGTTGCTCTGGCCGTGCGGCAGAGGGAGCAACTTGAAGAAAAGCCGGCTGGACCCGGCATCCTAGGTGATACATGAACCTGTGGCGCGACCTGTCTGTGGCGTGATGGCCTCCACTGGGTGTGTGTGTGTTAAGGCCTTTGCCGCCAAGGTGTGCAGAGCACGGGAAGCATTGGTGGCTCTTTAAGAAATGTCCAGCCTGCTTCCCGCTCCAGGCATTGACATAGTCCAGGGCACAGTTAGCTAAACTTTTATTTCAGTCACCCCAAGTGACTCGAACACGCACGCACACAGGGAAGTTGGAAGCCTGTCTTGAATTGACCTTGCATCTCTCTCTGGCGAGCGGTGTGTGTGTGTGTGTGTGTGTGTGTGTGTGTGTGTGTGTGTGTGTGGTGTGGAAGACTTTTAGGAGCAAAGACAAGTGAGCCATCCTGTTCTCTGGAACCTTGGGGACAGGCCAGTGCTCCTGCAGCCGTAGATCACCTGGTGTGGGCTGCGGGGTGGGGAAGACATCCTAGAGCGCAATTCTGAGGGAGATCAGGAAAGAAGGGACCGGGAAGATGTTGCTCCAATTCTGTGTGACCCAGAAACCTCCTTCCGCAGGGAGTTCTGGATGCTTCCCAGGCCTTCCGGGCCAGCCATAGGCACTGTGAGAACAGCATGCTGGGCTCGCTAGCCTGGCTCTGGCCCTGTTGTTCCTTTCCTGGCTAAGTAGGTGGCAGCGATGGAGCGATACTGCCCTGTTCTGTGATTTCTGTCTGGGCAGGGAAACCTGAGGCCACGGGGCCCCAGGTAACGGAGGACATCTGGCGTGTGGATGCCATTTTCCTCGCGCCAGGGATGGCTCTCCCCACCGAGGTGTTTCATCCTTGCCGTCAGCCAGTGAGTGCCTGCTTGCCTCTGATCTCCATTTTTCTGGGGGAAGTCGAGGCACAGAAATGGTCAGGAGGTTGCCCAAAGCTGCCCAGACTAGAACCAGGGAACGTGGTTGTAGGGGACATATAAACCTGCCCTGGTTTTCACTGCGAAGTGAGTTAACGACCTTTTAAATTTTTAAACAGAAAAACAAACCATGTAGCGGGTAGGGTCCAGGGAGGCGCTGCTTTTAATAAAGAGGAAGCAGTAGCCATGGCAACCTCGCCTCAGGTTTTGGGCCCCAGCTGTGGCCCTGCCCATCTGCCCATCTGCCACTTCCTACCCACCAGCGTGCCCACCTCCTTGAGATCCCATTCCTTCTGTGGTCTTTGGCCTACCAGCCACTCTGTTTCCCTGCTTGGGTAACTCCTAGGCCCAGGTGTGGGTAGGCTGGCAATTGCCAAGCAATGGATTGATCTGTTGTGTGGGATGCATCTTGGGGCCCTAGTTTCAACTGTGCGAGGAAGAAGCTACACGAAGGTGGCCACGTGTCCCCTGGCTCCCTCCCAGCATCAGTTACCGCAGAGAACTGTCCTTCTAGTGGGGGTGGGAGGGGGGGGGGGCTACAGTCACCTCCTTCAGCGGGTGGCACAGTGCCAGGGGAGATGGGCAACCACGTCGCGGTGTGACTACTACAGACAGACAGACAGACAGGCAGGCAGGCAGGCAGGGAATGATGCCTCAGAAAACCAGAGCAAACCAGGGAGTGGATTTTAGTCATATAGGGCTGATATGTGTCTCAATCTAAGAAGATGGCATGTGCCAATGTCCTCTAGCAGAGCCCGGAGAAAAAGAGGAGGGTCTGGGTCAGGTCCTCTTAGTCTAAG